AGCCCGAGAGGCTCCGCTCCCGTCCTGGAAGGGAGGCTGTGGAGGGGCCTCCTTGGCGGGACAGACGGGGCAGGCGCGGTGCAGGTGGGGTGCGGGCTCGCGCTGGGACTGCAAGGCAGAGCCAGGAGTCTCACAGGCCAGCGCGGGCGAACTGCAGCAGGGTCTTCTGACTGTGGCCCTTTGTTTACTCCTGGCCCCTCTGCCTTCTCCGGGTCATCCTCATTCTCCAGTCCTTCCACCCGTGAGGAGACACAGAAAAGGTTTTTCTACACCTGTTTTAGACTAGCGTTCTGTCTTAGACGGTTTGGGCAGTGAAATCAAAACAGCACAAACTGGTAATTTAGAAACAACATTTCCTGATGGTGGAAAAGTGCAACATTAAGGTGCCGGTCTGTTCCATGCTGGGCTGAGGGCGGTTCATATAGCTGGCACCTTCTGGCTGGGTCGTCACATGGTGGAAGTGTTACTGGGTAGTTTAGAAATTGAGAAATGGCTTCAAACGTATTCCTGGTCCTTCTTGCCTTAAACAAAGAATTCAACGAGAAAAGAAAAAAAAAAAAAAAAAAGGTGCCAAGAAGTTTATTTGAAAAGTGAGAAGTGAATGGATATAAGACAAATTAGCTCTGCAGAGCAAACTTGGGCTGAACTGGAGAAAAAGGAAAGTGAAAACAGAAAGAAAAGTACATGCTGTGTCTGGATAACCCAGGCGGGCTACTATGGGAACCCAGGAAAGCATTCCTGGTGGTATCTAGTCTTCTTTTAGGTTGTCCACATCTGATGGGAGCCTGTGAGATCTTCCCAGCACAGAACCTTGTGAATTATGTGGTGCTGTCCTGGGATCTTGTAATTGACAAGATCATTTCCCAGCCAGCTGTACCATGTCCTATCTCCTATATGAGAAGGGGATAACACATGTCCTTACTTGGCAGAAAGGGGCAAGGGTGCTCACTCAGACCTCTTTAAAAATCAGTAATCCCATTCACACACGTAGAGTCTCTGTGACCTAGTCAGCCCTTAAAGACCCCTGTCTCCTCTTACTGTCCAGTGGGGTATTAGATTCCAACATAGAAAGAAGAGTCGCAAACGTTCACACCATAGCACATTCTGCCACTACAAATTGTCAAACTTTTAGTTGACTATAGTGCATACTGAACTGTCTTTGTTTCTGTCTTCAATAAACATATTTCTTTTCCATGTTTATCACAGGGGACTTCGTGAACAGATCACCAAAATCACTCATCTCCTTGGCTCCTGGATGTCCAAGTCCAGACACCTTCCCTTTTAAGAGTGCTATTATCACTTTAGAAAATGGAAATATCATGCAAATTGGAGAAGAGATCATGAAGAGAGCACTTCAATATTCTGCAACTTCTGGGTGAGCTTTCAATAGAAAATACACGGGTCCGTTTTCCTGTCCCATTCATAAAGTTTCTTGTGTCTTTTTTAACAAAGTGTTTGAAGGTTGCAGAAAAATTTTCAAACACTAATTAAGAGCAAAAGGAATATGAAATATTTAACACTCCTCAGTGACTGCTTTCCAAACTTAAATGACGAGGAAAGCCACAGAATCTTCTGGAAGAACCATTTGAGCTCAGTGTAAAAACTGAAAAGACACTGGGTGAAGAAACACTGAAAGAAAAGAGGAAATGCGCGATCCAGCGAGAGTAATTTTAAGTCTCTAGGTAATTTTCTAATACTTATGACCCCTTTTAAGCAAGCAACTCTTCAAATACATCTAACAGGTTCAAATGTCTGACTTCTTAAAGGCAAGCTGAAACATGCCTTAAAACTTCCTTTAGCTGGTTTTCAAATGACAACAGATAGTTTATGAAGTCCACAACTTATATTTTATTAAAACTTTTGTTATATTATTGCAGAGCAAATTGAAACATAACATATAGGAGTTATAAGTAATACATAAATACATAAATAGTAATACATAAATTTTCTTTCCATGATACAAAAAAAATCTGTTGAGCCTGAACTTCTAGGCAGCCTATAGGAATCTCCCTAAGGAAAGCAAGGAATATATTACACAGTGAATGCTGTAGTGTAAAAGAAAGAAATTGGAAATTGAGGCTTTGAAACAAGAAAGACATAGATTCAAATCTCTGTTCACTGTTTAATAAATGACGTTGTGCTCATTTATTTTATTTTTTTTTTGGTTTTTCTCTGGTACCGGGAACTGAACTCACGACCTTGCGCTTGCCAGACAGGCGCTTTGCCGCTGAGCTAAATCCCCAGCCCCTGTCACCTTAGCTTTTAAATAAGAATATTGATATTGCCAAAAAGTATTTGAGAGTTTTCAATTGAATATATAATGGGTTTGATACAGAGCTACCATGTACTTCCTGTCTACTGTTACAATGAGTATTACTACTATGAACTTAAAAATACATCCTGTGGCTTTAGAATTCCAGAGCTTCTGTCCTGGCTAAAACAGTTCCAAATAAAATTGCATAATCCTCCCACCATCCATTATGCACCTCACCAAGGACAAATGGATCTCTGCATCACATCGGGCAGCCAAGATGGTCTTTGTAAGGTAAGACTGAAAGGAAAAGGAAGCCAAGGTGTGGAATCAGTATGTTTCTAAATACACTCGTCTCTTACTTAACCACACGAGGATTGCATTTTAAAAATTAGCGATAGTCTTTCTCATCTTCACATAAAATTATGAACAGGAAACTGAAAGACAAATCATAGGTTGGGAAGGAGTACAATAGGAGAGAGATATACATGGAGAGCTTTAACTACAGATACACACTAAGTAGAAATACTTTCATCTATTGATATTTCCCTCTAGTTTCCCTTATTATGAAAATACCAACTTTAAAAAAATTATCTGCTCTTTATTGCATTTATCAGCCTGATTTTTCTTAAATATACAGTTCTTGTTTAATGACCTGGAGCTGTGAATCACTAAACTAGGATTTCTGATATGAGAGCCTTCAAGTTGTACAAAAAGCTTTGTAACACTGCTTAATTTCATTTACCTCAAAGATTTGGGTCAACATTTGATTTCTACCTATAGTTATGATTTCAATATGATTTTTAGATTCTTTAAAAGGTATATTTTCACACTCCTGAGATGAAAACATGATTCTTTTGCATACCTATGGATAGAATCTCTCTTCTTACCACTACTTATATTTTATCCTCTCTTCAGCTGTATTTTTCTAGATCTACAGTATATACAGGTGTTACTTGACTTATGATGGGACTATTTCCTGATAAGCCCATCCTAAGTTGAAAATATGGTAAGTCCAAAATGTATTCCATGTACCTAACCTATTGAAAATACTTACTTAGTGACATAGTACACTGTACGGTATCTGTTGTTTGCCCTCATAATTGCATGGCCTGGGAGCTGCTGCTGCCTAGCATTTTATGACAGTATCATTCTACATATTACTAGCTCTACAAAAGATCAGAGTTCAAAACTCTACGTAAAGTTTCTTACTAAATGCACATAGCTTTCACACTAGCATAAAGTGGAAAAGTGTAAGTGAAACCATTGTAAGTCAGGGACCATCTGTATATGTCTGTGTCTCACTTCCCTGGGTCAGTTTCTTTCCTCCCTCTCTCATTCCCCCTCCCCAGTGTCCTCCCAGTATTGTGTCTGCCTCCTTGCTGGGCTCCTTGAGCCTCTGCAGAAGTATCCACCACTGGGTAGACCCATAATGAAAGAAAGTACTTCTGCTCAGTTTCGCTATTTCCTTTTTTTCTCCTCTTTTTCATGAATAATTAATTAATCCTGGAAAAAGATTCTGTGTATTCAGCCCTCACATCTAAATTAAAATGACTCTTATTTATCTTCATTCATGTTAAATCAGAGTAGCTTTCTGTTTCTTCTTTTCTATTTTGTGAACAATGCCATCAGATTTACTTTAATGAGTTTTAATTAAATTATAAAATAATGAATTGCAATAAAAATGCCTTGGAAAGACTTTTATAAATTACAACAGTTTTCTTCCAATTTTTGGAGTTTAATAAGGAAAAATAAAAGGATTAGCTACCCTCTATCTCTTTGCTTGAAGAGAGATATTTGTGATTCTATGAACTGGTATCTTAAAAGTCTCATTCAATAGAATTATTTTCTTAGGACAGGATTCTGTGAACTTTTCCCTGCAAGGAAAAAAATGTCAAAGACAGTTTCTCCTGTCTCTATCACTACACCAGTCATATCAAAAAGAACATAGCATCTGTGGTCACATAAATCATTACCATAGATGTGCTTATTTCAAAGACCTTACCAGGAATTTTGTTTAACATTTTTATCACAGGAATTTTGTTTAACATATTTATTGCAGAATATTTCTTTTGCTTTGTTCTCCAAGACAGACGTTATTTAGGTTCCTATTTTGAGTGTATCTTTTTGATGAGAAACAGCTCTCCCTTTTAATTTAGAGTATGTGATGTTTGCATGTCCCCTAATTGACATGGAAATGTACATAATTGAGATTTATTTGATCTATTGGCAATGTTCCAGCCACCCAGGTGATTTCTTTGGTTGTAAGAGGTCCTGCAAACCTGAGTCAACTGGAAAGTCCTCGGAGGAACATACTGGTCTTCATACAAAGTCAAAAACTCCAGAAGAGAAAGATAAATTGAACATCACAGGCCAAATGGGAGAACAAAACTCAAAACTTCTATCTCGATTGAAAATTACCTTGCTTTTAATTTTGAAATGTAGATTGTTAAAGTGAGAGGAAGCACGACTTGAAGCCAGGATTGCAAAACATCTCTCAGATGTGGATGACTTTTTGGTTCTTTGATCGAGTGAATGGCACCACCTCCTCCATCTATCTAGTTTGACAGCCATTTGTCTAGGAGTCCTTGACAGCTCCTTCTCACTCTCCTACAGCCCATAATCATGTCCTGTTGGTTTTCATGTTTTTCATTAATTTTATTGGTACACTTTTGATGTACATAATAATCACATTCATCATAGGGAGTTCGTACCTGAGCATAATATATCTTGATTCTCCTTTTTCAAGTTCCTCTACCTTCCCTTCACCCTCTTCCCCTCCTTATTTACAAAACCTGGGTTCCAAGTTTCCCTTTCCCAATAATTTCCTGGCCCTTCCCTCCTTCCTTTTCCCCTGCATGCTCCTTAGTTCTCCTTCCTATTTGAATATTTTCTTCCTATTTCACAATATCTATCATACATGTTGGTCCTTATTTACAGCTTCGCACACTAGAGAAACAAAGTGGTATTTACACATTTGTCCAATTTACTTCACTTAAGTGTGTGGTCTCATGGTGCATCCATTTACCTACAAATGTCTTGAGTTTACCCTTCTTTATGACTGTGTAGTATTCTACTGTATAAAGAAACTACATCTTCATTATCCATTCATTGCTTGATGAGCACTTTGACTGTTTCCAAATTAGCTATTCCACACTGTGCTGCTATGAACATAGGTGTGAATATATTTATGTGGTATGATGCTTTTCATCCTTTCAGGAAGATACCAAGTAGGGAAATAGATGGACCCAATGGAACCTCTAGCTTTAGCTGTTTGAACAATATCTAGATTGATTTCCATTTAGTTATACCAATTTGCATTCCCAGAGGGTGGTACTTAAGAGTGCCATTCAGGGTCCCATCTAGATTTGTACCTAAAGTCTTATTGAAACTCAGCCATTCCCACTTATTTTATTTTGGCTGTGACTAATTTCTCACTCTAGAAGCAGAGGTGGGTTGTAGCAAGTAGACAGAATAGCCCACAAAATGATTACTGTTGGGCCCTTTACCAAATATTTGCCAACCTTTACTCTAGGGTCATGTGAGCTCAAACTAAATAGTGGGGTTCTGAGAATGAAACAATAATACACAAGGTAATGAATGCTTCTTTTGTTAGGTATTTGAAATGATAATTAATCCTGGAGATAACATCCTCCTAAATGAGCCAGTTTATTCGGGAACACTTCAAGCTGTAAGTACACATTTTCCCAAAATAACAATTCTTACAGTAAACAGAAGAAAGCACTGCAAATTTACAGTTATCTGTCCATTGAAAAATAAAATAGCAGTTTTCACCTGTAAACAAGAGAATAAAAATGATAAAGGCAGTAAGTGTTAATTTATCCTCTGCTTCATACATTCCTCTTTTAAAAGCCAACTGCAGCCATGTAAGTGAAAGACTAAATTCTTTGTTTCATATCCTTGGGTTGGTAGAAATCTAGGATGGAAACTACAGAGAAGTAATCGCAGCTTAGAATGAGAACTTTCTAACCATCAACTTCACCCACCTAACTGCTCAGGAGGTGAAACATTGCCCATGGCTTCAGATCCCCAAAGTTACCTCCGGTTCTAATTCTAACTATTGGATTAATTCAGTTAAAAGAGGCTGTGTGACACTGTGTGATGTGTGACTGTCATATCTCTGTGGCTTACACCACTAACACTTTGTGCCACAAGATGTCTGCTGCTCACTTCTGTGATATCTTCATTCCATACCCCAAGTTGACAGAAGCAGCCTCTGCACAGAACATAGCCAATCTTAGAGCAAAGTAAAAAGAGACTTGCAAAGCCCCCAGTGGATTGTTAAATCTTCTTGAAGGGACAAATATCCCTTCTGCTCACCATGTATTGGCCAGAGAAAAAAATATGGCCAAACCCGACACAAATGGAGCTAAGGAATATAATCCGTAGCCAAGCGTGGATGTGCATACCTGTCATTCCAGCACTCTGGGAGGTTGAGTCAGAAAGACAGAAAATTCAACTCCTGTGTGGGCAGCTTAGCGATAGCCTGTCGAAAGAATAAAAGGAAAAAGGAGCTGAGAATGTAGCTCAGTGCAGAGACCTTGGGTTCAGTTCTCAGTACCAAGAAACAAAGCAGTCTAATATTTCCCATAGAATCTACCTCAGGGGAACAACAGACAATGTTAACCCTCTGGAGCCTGGAGCTCAGGGACGATTTATTTGTGTTTGAGGATATAAATGGTAAAATTGCTACTTAGTATTTCTTTAAATTTCACTTATGTTTTGTATTTATGTCTGACTCCTGAACCTCTTGTTGTTGTCATTGTCGTTATTATTGTTGTTGTTGTTATTTGGGGTTTGTTCTGTTATTTTGTGTTTGATTTTGTTGTTGTTATTTGGGGTTTGTTCTGTTATTTTGTGTTTGATTTTTGGTTCTCAGCTGTACCCACTGGGCTGCAACATTATTAATGTTCCCAGTGATGAGTTCGGGATTATCCCAGATGCCCTCAAAGAAATCCTTTCCAAATGGGAACCCGAGGATGCCAAGGACTCCAGCAAAAACACCCCCAAGTTTCTCTATACCATCCCTAATGGCAACAATCCCACCGGAAATTCACTGACTGGGGACCGCAAGAAGGAGATCTACAAGGTATTCCAAAGACTGTGTTCCATGTGGGGTTCCTGCTTCTGCCGTTTTCATTTTAGATGAGTCTTGTCAAGTTCCTTTCTTATTACCCTCTTGTTTTTCAAGGAAGAGAATTTTTAATAAAAGAAGCTCATTGCTGCTAAGGGCAGTAATAAATGTCTATGTAGTAAATTAGTACTACTTTTGTTTCTGAGATTTTTTACTTTACCCTGAAGTGGTATTTTAGTACAAATGAAATAGCATTCTTGCTATGGTGTTAAACTTTATGAGGTTATTAATATTTCACCTCTTTTGCTTTTCATTATATTTATGTTTTTTATTTATCTCTTCTGCTTCTTTTTCCTTTTCACTTCACAATTCAAAGAATTCTTGAAAAATAACAGGCATGTGCTTCATCTCAGAAATCACTATTATGTACCAATAAACCCTGGCTTTTCACTCTAAATATTTTTGCAAAATATCAAGTGAATATTGAACTATACAAAAAATCTTTGTAAAGTGAAATATTCCTTTCACAAACTCTTTTTATGTATACTAGAACTATGCTTCCTATACTTTCCTACAAATACTTTTTTAAAAATGAGTAACAAACTCATGATGAATTATATAAAATTTAATCATGTGCAGTGAAATTATAAGCAGGATATCAGCTGTCCACTGGTTCTTTTACTTTGAATAAAGTTAGAAATATTCATTTACTATTTTTTATGCTCCTGGGTGCTCTCTGCTCTATTTACAAACTCATCCAGTTCCCTGGGAATACCCCATCCTGCACACAGGGAACCCTATTGCCCAGCATCACCTCATCCCTAAATGCCACTATTCTGTGTCCAACTTTAAGCTTCATGTCACCACATGGGTGGCTCATAGCATTTCGAACTCTGCCTGGCCCAAATAGAACACCTGGTTCCCCACCACCACCCAAATCGAATGCCCAACCCCTGTGCATACGGAGTCTCTATAAATGACCCCTATAAACTCCATGAACAGTCGCCCTTCATTTCTCTTTCCCTGCTCTACTTTCTACACTCACCACCACGTTCATCCAAATCCAACCATTTCCCCCGCAACATTCATAGCCCCATTCTTTGAGTCACCACCTGCCCTTACGGATGGGTGACTTGGTCACTCACCCTTGCTGTGTCCCACTCTCGGTCTCTAACCACTCATTGTTTACAGGGAAGGCAGTCACGGCCCTGCTCGGTGGTAAATGTACAAATCTGGGAACAGGGTTCTCCTGTTCACAGTTCTCCATGACTCGAAGGTCCTGATTCCATGTCTAACTTTGCAGACTGCAGGATACAGTCATTTCTACCTGACAACTTCTCTCTCAACATCCGTGCTGCAGCCCTTGCTGCACACCACCCCGGCCGTTCCGTTCCTTCAACATGCCATGCCTCTCGCTCACCCTGGAATCTTTACTGTCACTCACCCTTCAGTCTGGAGACTTTTTGCCTAATATTTGCACAACTTACCGGGCTGTAACATTATTTTCTGTAGCATTACATTTTCAAGAAGGCTTCTCAGCAATTGCACGTGAATAAACACCCTGTTACTCTTTCTAAAATGTGATCTCGTGTGACCCTCTGGATAGAATTTAAGTTCTTCCCCATATGTTTTTCAGTTCATTATCTGCAGGCTCAAGCACATTCTGTCTTTCTCTGCTAGGATGTAAGTTCCATGAGAATGGAAGTCCTTAGTGCCTCCTTCATCTTTATCTTCACTGTCCGGCATGACAGACATCAGTAGAGCCTTGAATGTTGAAAGGAGTATAAAGAATTATGATTCTGAGTGATTTCCATTTTAAATAGCTCTTATCAAATATATTATTTTAACATTTTAGCTTGCAAGCAAATATGATTTCCTCATCATAGAAGATGATCCTTACTATTTTCTCCAGTTTAACAAGGTAAGTGATGATGTGAACTTATTGCACGATTAAGACATACAGTGTTGTAAGTTACTACACTGTCTTTCAGGCTAGTCATACGGGTGTGTCAGACTGGGAAATTCATTATAACCTTGAACTTAAGTGAACTATTATTAATTTATTACCACTTTAATTTTTTAGTCTTCCAATTTTATCATGGAATTACTACTTTTCATTTTTGGTATAGGCTGCTCTTTCTAGAAATTATTTAACTTCAGAAGAGTATGTAGCCCCCAAATCATGAGTTTAGGCAAACAGAGTAAGTCAGGCTAATGGTCTTGAACTCCAAACCCTAGTTCACAGCTCCTTTAACATCACCTCAGGGATGTTGAAGCAGCTTTTACCTTGGGTGTGCTCTTCAATCTTGTGATGATGGCTGATGAGGATAATGTCTCAGCAGGATTGAGAAGCTGTGTTCATGCAGAAGGAGATGCTCAGTTAATGCTGTTCATTTATGGACACAGGGGGACGCATTACAGGCAGCATGCCACAGATTCCCCAGCTGTGTCCTTTACACCTGGATCTTACCTAAGTAACGGGCTTTTAGGTGCACCCTCGGTATATACGTATGCTACCTTTCATGACTGCTGGATCCTAATGGGCAGTAGAGGTGTACAGACTACCAATGACTGTTTCATCAACATCTAACAGTTTCTTTACTCCCAGAACGGCAGAGAACATATAATTGAATTGGGTCACCTATTTAAGAAACCAGGAAGAAGGGACTGGGGATATAGCTCAGTGGCACAGCAACTGCCTAGCAAGCACAAGATCCTAAGTTCAATTCCCAGTTCAAAAAAAAAAAAACAAAAAAACAAACAGAAACCAAGAAGAAACAGATATTCTTGATTTCTCTGCATTGTTTGACTGAATAAAATTCTGTACATTCTTGATCAACATTCCTTAAACAGTTGAATGCTGCTGACGCTCTTCATTTTGATCCTATCCAAACTAGGTTTGCTTGAGTCCTTCCTCTTAAATCAGTTAATCCTGAACTTTACCCCCTGAGGCAAAGAGGTTTTTCTTGATACACAGTAATGGTGTCTTGAGCAAATAAGGGAGGCCTTGTGTTTGACCAGGAATCTGTGAAGACAGCAGATGCTAGTAAAAGAACACGCATGTCAGAGTTTTATTCCATGTAAAAAGGTTGAGACAAAGGCAAAACATCCTTGGGGTATTGTGTTCCAAATCCACACCTTCCTGCACTCTACAGAGCAACCCTTCAACTACTAACACTGTTCATAAACCAACATAATTTTCTTCCCATGGTAAGCCCAGGGCACCAACATTTCTCTCCATGGATGTGGATGGGCGTGTCATCAGAGCTGATTCCTTTTCAAAAATCCTCTCCTCGGGGTAAGGTCCATGTCTCGAACTTGAGGCTAGTCTCAGTATCTTTTAATCCGAACAGTTCTTATTTCAGAAGCTTGAAGCTGGGTGTGGTAGTGCATGCCTGTAATCCCAGTACTCTGAGAGGCTGAGGCAGGAGAATCACAAATTGGATCCCAGCCCGATCAACTTAGTCACATAATGAGACCCTGTTTTAAAACAGAATATTTAAAAAGGGCTAGGGATGTACCTAAATGCAAAGGCATGGATTCAAATCCCATTAATTAAAAAATCTTGATGTTCAATTGAAGACAGCTTACCAATTACTGTATTAACATTAATAAACCTGTTCTCTCTTTATCAATCTCCAATAATTGAAAATAGTTGGTCCCTAAAGGTTTAGTAGGACTGGTCAGGATTTTAATATCATCATGAAAGAACATATTTTAAATATTTTCTGTCGCATTATTTCCTAAATATACACTTACATTTGTATCTGAAATGAGTACTTGATTTATTAGAATGTTTTAATTGCCTAGACGCACTTGCCCCAGGTCAAAACAGACCTCATCATGAAGTTAGTTGAGTGACATATTAATACGGATGGGTTTTGAGTCTTTTCTCTTTTTGTGTAGGTTGAGAGTAGGATTTATAACTGGCCCAAAACCCTTAATAGAGAAAATTGTTTTACACACACAAGTTTCATCAATGCACGCCTGCACTTTCGCACAGGTAAGCCCAGTTTATGAAACGATACTTTTAAATAATCAAATCAGTATAGGAAGTAGATGGTGACAGGTAAGATTCAGTTAAGGTGGCAAGAAAGAAAACTCTCAGTGCTGAATCTCCAGTTCTGATACAGGCTGAGTGAGAAGACCAGGTTCCAGAGATGTTTACTCTGAAAAACAAATGAATTGTGTTAGCATCGTGTTCTTTTGCAGCGTAACCCAATCTCCTTGAGAATCAAGGTATTATCCTCATCTGTGTCCCTGTGAGAACACCACCGTGTCGCTTTGTGGAACTGAACTGACTTTGGGGAAGCAGTGCTGATTTTGTCTTTATTGTCTTGGACCCTATAGAGAGAGCAGGGACTCTTGAGTCTCTGCAGGGACTCGCTGTGAGCCTTCACTGCGCATGCGCAGCCACACCTATCGATAGTAGTTACCGTGCATTGTAACCACAGTTCCCTGAGAATCAGACCTACGTGGAAAGCAGGTTCTCACGTGATTTTAGAAGACTCAGCCCCTGAAATGAGCCCTGGTTTTACTCCAACACATATCAAAGGGCTCATTTTCAGGGCGTTTCTCTTGTGAAAGTATACTGGAACTTGTATTTCCAGGTAGGTCTTATTTTGGGGGAAACTGGGAATTAAAATAAATTAACCTTGAAGACTGTGTAAATTCCCTCACATGCTTAGAGAAACTGATAGATTTGGAAATTATTATAATCTTGAGAATTGGATCTTACTGATAGAACTGCTGTGTAGCAACTAAAAATGAATAGAAAAGACTGTCCTCATACTTCATTAGATATTTTGCATTCCATAATATAGTATGGAATCAGTGTAGCTGTCCTCACGTTTTACCAAATTAGGGGCTTTTCCTGTGTTTTTCATATCTGCAATCAAGAACTCCTCAGTACTTATGTGTCATTACAGCTTCTGTTTTGAACAGAAAATCTCCAAATACAATGTAGAACTTTAGATATTTACCATTTCTTTTCTTTAGAAACTTCCTGTACTGATATAGCTCAGTAGTAGAGCAACTATTTAGCAAGGACAAGGCAATTGGTTGGATTATCACACTGTGCAGAGAGATGGGAGGGGAAGAGAGAATACTACACATTTTTTTATGTCTAGAGAGGCAGTATAGTCTTGCAACAAATATCATGGATGTGGAGCTGACTTCAAATCTGAGCTCTGTAACTAGTTGTTGGACATCAAAAGAATTAACACTTGTGTATTGATCTCCTTATAAGTAAAACAAATAACCTGCATAATAATTAGGTTATTGGAAAGAATAGATTAACCAAAACCTACTAATACATTTCTGTAGTGCCTGGTAAATCATGAGTTCCATGGAAATATTTGTTATTTTTATTACTGTTGTTGTCATGCTTATTAACATTTGTTATAAATCACAGAGTGCTATAAGCTAGATTCAGCATGTTTTATCTTTATCCTGGTAGTCTGGGATGATTTGGCAAACACAGAGACTTTTAGGGAATGAACTGTGACAGAGTTCCTATTCTTTCATTTAGATCATGATATTACAGCTTCTACAGCACTGGGGAGAAGAAGGCTTCCTGGCTCATGTGGACAGGTATCAGATCATCTGTTAAAATGTTTATGAGCAAAATAGGAGCCCCACAAACCAAGCACACAACACCAGAGTGTTCATTTACTATTCTTCCTTCCTGAATATCTTAAGCTAGATGGTAGGAACAGTTTATAAAAGGTCAAAAGCCTGTTCATTTTAGTAGCTTTTCCATCACCTAGAAAGTCTTTTCAGGAGCACCCAAGGCATGCCCTGAAAGCAGTGTCAAGGCAGCCCCAAGGTAACCTGAAATGCTCTCCCGGTTGGATTGCATACACATAAGCATTCTATTTAATAATTCATTCACCATGAGGGACACATGACATGGAAATTGACTCATGCACTGATGAGTAAGAATGTAACCTACCCAAGGAGTCAATAAATGGTGCAAGTTATGAAGTGCTGGGTTGGGTAAGTGTGGTACCTCCTAGGCCATGTAGAAATAAAGGAAAAGGGGCTTCCCTCATTCCCAGACCAGAGATCCACCATTCCAATAGCATCATCTGTGACCCTAAGGATTCTCCTACCTTGTCAATGACAATTATTTGAGACAAATAAACAAAGATCAATCCTCCTACTTCTAAGTTCTGTGTTTTACATAGAAATGTATTTTTTGCTCTATTGATTTTTATTTTTTCATTAATCCATAATAAAGGAACAAACACTAGTATAAACGTAAAGTTGATCCCTCCACAAGTCAACTCAAAAACTCTCTTGCCCTCTTGCCTCATCTCAAGCATTCAACATTTCAATCGAGAGAGAAAAAACAATACTCACAGCTTGTTTTCAGAGGCCATTTTGCTTGTGCAGTTACTGTATGAATGTATCTTTGTCATTGTTCTCTTCTTCCAGGATTATTGATTTCTACAGGAACCAGAGGGACGCCATATTGGCAGCTGCAGAGAAGTGGCTAAGTGGTGAGTGAAATGTACATCTGTCCTTATGAGAAACAAGATCACCTCCAAGAGTGGGTGATAGATATTACATATTATTGACAATTTTAGTGGGAAAGAAACACCAATCCTACAGTATTCTTGTCCAGGAAATATATCTCTACAAAGGTTGTCAAAAGTAACATCCTACAAAGGCCAGCACACTTCTACCTATCTCTACTATCTGTTGCAAAAATTTATGGTTGTTAAAAAAAAATCAAGTAATCCAAAAGCTAAACAGTAGTAGCTTACTTAAAGCTAAATAACGTCCATCTTCAAAATTTTATTTCTTTCAAATTCTGCCCCAAACAAATAATATGATCTGTGTCTGACTAAGGTCTATGAAGACAAATAGTGCAGTCTAAAGCAGATCTCTCATTACAGATTCTTTCTCTTAGCCTTTCCTAATTTGCTTGCCTGATTACTTTTTATTATGGAAGACATTCAGAAGAAATATGAGGCTTAAACTATATCATTTAAAATGCCCATTATATGAACAATAATATACCAAAAATGTCAGTTCCTTATCAGTTATATCTAATTCCCTGTGAAGTCTTGGTAAATATTGAATTATTATCAGTTTGATAAGAGTACTGCTCCATCATTTTGGATAATAATGATGAAGACAAAGTCATAACAAGAAAAGAGAGTCTTAAAAAATAATAATTAAAATCAAAAGAAGTATTCCTTCCTTTTGATTTCTCTAGCCTAATACTGAAGGAAACATAAAGCTTACAAATGCATACGGAATTTTGAATTTTAAGTTTTTCTTTCCACAATTAATTACATTCTGATGAAAACTAATATACTGAACTTCTAAACTATTGCATAAGTGATAGGATTAACTGAAACACCAGAAGACTCTAGGAAGAGTTGAAGACAAGAGTTTTGGAAAAGTTTCCAAACTGAAGCAGCCGCACTTGGCTTAGGTATGCTTCTAAAACCTGAAAGAGAGAGAAGCGCTATGTTTCTTGTTCTCCACTGAGACAGGCTAGAGTTGTAACTGTTCACACTGAAGCTATTCAGTTGCCTGCCCTCCCTCTGACCACACACTGACTCCAGGAAATAAACCTAGAACATCAGTTTCCAGAGCTCATAAATTGTATTGTTAAAAATGTTATCAGTGACAGAACTTTTTAGGAAGTGCCAGTTTATAATCACTGCACAATGTCACAGAACAATATATTTGATGCATATTCTCTTTTGTGTATAGGTTTGGCAGAATGGCATGTGCCTGCTGCTGGTATGTTTCTGTGGATTAAAATTAAGGGCATTTCTGATTCACAACTGATTGAAGAAGAAGCCCTTAAGAAAGAGGTAAAACTGGGAGGTGTGTGGAAGGGACACCTAAAGTAAAATGACACTTTCATTTAAAGTAATTTTTTACTTGAGTAAAAATGAAAAGAGGTGTTTTGTATTGCCCATCACCCAACTTAGACTGTTCTAATATTAAGTGTGGTGTCTCATTATTAAAATAATAGTAACTGTGATGATTATTCAGTTGGTCTAAATTAATGGAAACACAGTCATTCATCTCAACCAATGATTAGCATAGTGGCTAAGAGGCTGCTGTGAAGCCACACTCCATGGGTTTGAATCCAGCTCTACCCACTGCTGCAGAAGTGTCTTTGGACAAGTTGCCCTCCCTGTGCTTCCTCTGTAAAGTAGAGGTAGTAAGGATCCCTCCCTGATAGGGGTGCTGTGATGATTAAATGAGTTACATGGGTAAAGCACTTAGACTAACACCTGGCACATAATAAATGCTCCAAACTACTAACCTAATAGTATTAGCTCAATTAGTATTTATAATGGAAAGATTCTGTCCTAATGATTAGAGTAAACTATGCTCATGGTTTGGAGAATGCATAAGAGCACAATGAAAATTGTTAAATTGTCCACCGTTTCACACCCAAGTTTTGCGGTCATTTAAAGTGAATTTTCTTGAAGAGTTTTTGTATATTCCAGTGTTTTGGGTTGTGTGGATATTTTACATAGCTAATATTACACAGAAAAGATTATCCTGATTTTTCCTCTTAAAATCAGCACATATAGGTTTGTCTGTCTGTCTGTTTGTTGCTTCCTCTGTACTTAACACATGAGTCTACTTAGACATCATTTGTGGGTATTGATTAAGCTCCAAATTCTAACTAAAATTTTTCATGTGACTTTCTAATATAGCTAATAAGTTGTCATTTTCCATTAATTAATTCCATTATCATATTTGTCAGTCTTTGTAAACACTGAGATTATTTCTAGAATCACTGTTTCTTAAAGCAATAAGTAGAAGGAACGTATTGGGCTGATGATGCAGGTGCTGTGCTGATGCATAAAAAAAAAACTACTCTAGGGGTTAAATCTAGAGAAGACTACAGGCAAAGTCATGATCACCTATCATCCCACTTATCAACAGGACTTATGCTTTCTCATTATTCTAATCCTAGGCACTGCACATAGTAGGCACTTAATATATAACTTATTTCAAATAATTATACTATAATGTAATAATTGAACTTCGTATTTTCTTTGCTTTCCTATCAATACCATTTTCATCAAAACTCTCAGTAGTAGCTATTTGTTCGCATTTCTGACCTAAGTGCTAAGGATATAGATGAAAGTCTACTGTACATTTTCTCATCCTCTTTGTTTATTCCACAATCCCATTGGATGTTCCCTTCCCTTTTCTAAAGGGTATCCAACTTTATCACTACTACCTCAACCCAGATTTTGGTTTCCCTACACAGAGAACTTTACCACTCTCTCCCACTAAAGGTTATTGTTTCTAGTTCAACCCAAAACTTTTCTATTATACTGACAGAAATAACAACACTCATACCTTCTTAGTCAGCATTAAAAAACCCATAAAATCCTTTCCAACACAGGCCCCAAATCATTGCGCTCCTGCTTCATCCTGCTTTAGTAGACAGCCTACAGATTTATCTTAACAACAGCAGTTACTTAATGTTTTTGGAGATCGTAATTGTTTTTAGCTAAAACTAACAGCTATAGACAATAAACTCCAAAATCACAAAGACTTAACATAAAAGAAGTTCATTTCTAACTCACACAAACTTCAAAACTGTGATCCACACGCAGATCTGAGTCACAGGCTTCGGCTTCTTCCATCTTATTCTGTGGTGTTCTTATGGATTCCAAGGTCACAACAAAGTGGAAAGAGCATGGTAGATTACACATGGGATCATTTTCATGGACCAGGACTAGAAATAGCATCCATAACTCTGGTTCATGTGGCCACACACAACTAAAAAGAGGGTAGGAGAGCTGCGCGTGCAGCTCAGTGTCTGTGTGCGCTTAGTTTGCATGCATGAGGTCCTGCATTGAATTGTCAGAGAAAGAGAGCGGACGTGGAGAAGGCAAGGAGGGAAGAGCAAATCAGTGATTCAGCCACAGTGGGCACCATGAAGAGCAGTTGTTCTCCCAGTGCATCTTGACACAGTTAATGTCCATTTTTATTCTTTTAATGTTCATTTTTAGTCCCTCACTTTATGTATTCTTTTTTACCTTCTCTCATTCTTTTAATGGACCACCTTCTTCCCATCACATGCCCCTTACATCTCCCTAAAGTAGTATTCCCCACTTTTTGCTAGGCCAACACTCGCTTATCTTAAAAATTCCAGCTTAAAAATCACTGTCAAGTTTGTTAACTGTAAATGCTGTCCTGTTGAATTTTCTAATGCAATTAGATAATGATTTGTATTTGTCATTTGTGTTCCTTTTGCAAGCTTTCTTTTGCACATTTTAGTGTTTCTTTTCAGTTTCTGTTTATCTTTTAAAAGTAAAGAAGAAATGGAATTTGCCCCTTTCTATCCAGTTAGACTTGTTTGTTGAGGGGCATACAATTTTTATATATACCATTTTTTCTTTTGTGAATTAACTGCTTATAAGTTTAGAACATTCCTCTCACTCTGAGGTTAGGTTTGCCTATGATTTAGTCATCCTTCAGTGGCTTACCTTTCACAACCCCTCAGGTTTTACTGGTTCCTGGGAGAGCTTTCTACAAGAACAGCTCAGCTCATAGCCCTTACTTCAGAGCATGCTTCTCCACGGCCTCTGCAGAAGAGATGGATGAGGTGAGTACAGTGTTCTCTTCAGAGCAGCACCAGCCCTCCTTTCTGGGTTTTGGTGCATGTGTTAAGTTGGGAGCTGAAACGTTGCTTAATCTCTCTGTGTTTTATAAAAAAAAAACAGATATTTATAGACCAATGTAAACTCCGGTGAAGTAACCCTTTTACTTTACTACATGACCTCTGTAGACAAATGAGACTAAACCAGTTAAAAGTTTGATTTTGGGGGGAATAACTTTTCAAGACCTACTGAACAGTGTGGAAGATTACCAACCTCTCTCCTTCCTTCACTGAATTAACATGAAGGAAGAATACAAATTCCCAGTAGACTACAGTCTCTCTCTGTCTCTCTCTCTTTCTCTCTCTCTCTCTCTCTCTCTCTAAGGAAAGAAGCATCTGCAAAATCAGTGTATTGGTTCATGCCTGGACCCAAATACACATCTTAAAGGAGAAAAGCTCTATTTTTGCTCACAGTTTCAGAAGATTTAGCAGGTAGTCAGCTGACTCCAAGGCAGAAACATCATGGTAGAAGAAGGTGCTCACTTCCTGCTGGGCAGGAATAGCACCAGAGGTAAAGGGGCCAAGGAGCAGGTTTAGCCCCCCAGGTCCCACCTCAGGGACCCATCTAGACACACCCAGCAGTGTGCTGTATTCATGCTCTGGGCAGCTCTCAAGCAAGTCTCCTTGGTAGTTCAGTGTAACCACTGGGCTCAAAAACAGTAATGCTCTTATTTACAGTCCAGCTTTAGCCAAAAAAATAAGCAGCAAGAAAACAATAACCTATGGACTATGTATCTGGAAATCCAAAAGGCATATAAATTGAGTTATACTATAAACCGTTAGTGGAGTTTAGTCTTATTATGGGAGATGTTTCATTTTGATGTGTTCTTTCTTTATTTGCTTCCTGGTATTCTTAAATATGCTTTTCACAAGTTCTCTCTGCCTTTCTACATGAAGAGAGTTGGACAGTCAAAACTATATAGAATGCATTTGCAGGTGGGATGTTACATGAAAATATAAAATAATTTCTGTTGTAGAAAAAATACAAAGTGATGATCACGAGAGTAATAGGAACCAAAAATTTCCTGGCAATCTCAGGTGGCTCTATCTCCATATTTTAGTAGACATCGATGGCATTCTGCCCAGTTAATATCAGACTCAACTTTTCATTGCCTGTTTCTCAACCTGAGAAGAAATCTATTTGAAATTTTAAAGTTTTGATCAACTTTCCAAAAGAGCATTCTAATTTCATAAATAATTCTTATCTCTTTTCTGTTTTAGGCCTTCCAGAGATTAGCCCAAATTATAAAAGAATCTTTATGAAGAAATCTAACTAATCATAGTAGTATGGATTTTTCAGATTAATGATTTCTGTGTTTTCTCTGAAGAAAACAATTATTGATGTTGGCCTTACAAAGTGGTATCAAACATCTTACATGGTATCTATGGCAGTTTACCTAAACAACTCTGAAATGCCTTTAAATTTATCACATTGCAAAAGTGTATTTGGAAGACACTTAAGCTTTTAGCTCTTCAATCTGTAATTCTTTTAATTAATTAAGTTCATTGATACACTTTAGATATACATAGTGATCACATTCATCATAGGGAATCTGTACCTGTACATGATATATCTTGATTCTTCTTTCTTTCCCAGTACCCTACCGTCCTTTCAACCCCACTTGTGCTCCTTACTTACAAAATCTTTTTTGCGGTTTTTTTCCTTCTTTTCTTGTTTTTTTTTTTTTCTTTTCTCTTTGTTCCTTTCCCCCTCATCACCTCAGTTTTCTTCTTATTTGAACATTTTCTCCCTATTTCACAATATCTATTATACCTTTTGGTCCTTGTTTATGTTTTCAGTTTCTCACACCAGAGAAACAATGTGATATTTACACATCTGATTTATTTAACTTAAGAGTATGGTCTCAGGGTGCATCCATTTACCTAGAAATGTCATCTCAAGTTTATTCTTCTTTATGGCTGGGTAGTACTCCATTGTAAAATACCTAGCTCTTCTTTATCCATTTTCTTCTACCCACATACTTTTCTTATCTGTTCATCAGTTGATGGGCGTTTGGACTGGTTCCAAGACTTAGCTACTACAAACTCTGCTGCTATAAACATGGGTGTGTATATACCACTGTGGTATGGTGTTTTTAATTCTACCAAGAAGGAAATAACTGGGTCAAATGGAACCTCTAGTATTAGCTATTTGAGGACTCTCCACTGATTTTCACAGTGCTTCAGGCAGTCTACACTCCCACCAGCAGTGGAGAAGGGTTCCTTTTCCCCACGGCCCCACTAGCATTTGCTACTCATTGATTTAAAAATATTATTTTTAAAAAATATATTATTTTTATCTTAGATTTTACTGTGCAGAACTCTGTAGTTGCCTTATAATGTCATACAAAATTTCTTAAAACTAACACTTTATGATAATTATTTTGTAATTTTAAGAAAATAATTAAATTCAAAATGGCATAAAATTCATACTTTTTCTGTCTGCAAGGGTACACTGATAGCTTATGCAAAAATCACTGTTATGATTTGGCCATTATAAATGAGTTTTCAGTAAAAATACCTGTTGCAGCATTTGTTTCATAATGTTCTTTCACAGAATTCCGTCTAAAATTTTTTTAAAATGCAAAAAAAAAAAATTCACTGCTGTACAAAGAAAAGCTAAAAATAGCAGATGCAATTTTATACAACAAAGCTTAGTCTAGCGTGTCAGGTCACCTTAATCCCTCAGTGAGGAAGTACTAGTTGGACTGCTAAGATACTTCTATTCATTATACTCTCATTTCTTGAATGTCCAAAGCATCTGTAACCAAAAGCTAACTATCAATATAGGTCATTAACCAGCAGTATTACTAAGACCCAAGAACATGACTGAAGCTGCCTATACTGTTTTACTTAGGTTTTCCTACAAAATTTCACATAAGTGAATAGTTCTTTCAGGGGAGACTAATCTCATTAGTCTGTGATATAACCCTCCTGCATTAAGCCTCATAAAAATTTTTCTTCCAACAAAATGTGGCATTTCAAATAGTTTGAGACTCTTTTGAGTTTTAGCAGTAAAGGATAAATTCACAGACTATAATATTTTATGTGTCATAAAACATATTAGATTATTAAAACTATTCAAATTTTTACCATTTGAGATCATTTATGGAAATATTTTTAAAACACTAATACAAATAACTGCAGGCTATAATGTGACCAATGAGCTGTTACATGAAGCCTGATCAATATAAAGTGCATGTTTCCAAAATAAATATAACTTTCCATGTGGAGGAATTTTTTACATTTAAGGAAACTATGTGTAGTCAAATCATATCCAAGCTTTTAATTCTTTTATAGAGCTTTGAGACACCATTACAGCACTGGAAAATAAATGCTACTTACATTAAATGAGTATCAGGGAATTAGGAAAACAATTTTTATCCACTAAAGGGTAGAAATTATATGAAATGAATATTGTCTCAATAATGAAAAATTCCCTGATAGTCAGATATCCTAAGAACAAATGCACCATGTTAGCAAAGAGAAAAACTAGAACCAGCTAAGTGAAAAGAGACTGGAGATCAATGAGATAAAACTGTTACAAGTCTTCCATGCAGAAATTCATTTTTTTTAAAAAGTGGATACCTGAAGTGTAATTTTGGGTGTTCTCTCCTAATGCCACCTCCTCCTGTGTTGGTTACTTTTCTCTCATTGCTGAGTCAAAATATTCAATGCCCAAAATTAAGGAAAGAAAGGTATATTTAGCTCACAGTTTGTGGAGGTTTCAGTCTGTAATTAGCTGGCTCCAAGGCAGGGTGGCATGGCACAGAGACAACACTTCAAGGCAGCAGAAGACAGCAAAAGCAGCAAGAGCAAAAAAAAAGAGGAGCAGCAGAGAGCAAGCCTCTTTCCCTCCCTTATGTTTTATGCAGGCTCCCCGCTCCAGGGCAGGTATAGCACTCACACCCATAATCCCAGCATTGGGCCATAAATCAATCACAAACTGTAGAAGCCTGTCCCATGAGGCTTTGGGGGGTCATGTAGACACAAACCATACCACCTCCAATATTTCAAATCTTCAAAAACCCATAATTTTTGGGAATAAAGGATTGGAGTTGTGTGCAATAGGCAACAGAATGCAGAACACAAATAGAAAACTCAGAGGAAATAGTGATTCAGAACCTTTGAAAATTAAAAAGTTCCCTATAATTCAGGAAGATATTTCCATCTAAAAACAACATGGGAGGCTGGAAACAACTTTTCTGGTATTTTAGTTGCCATTATGAGGGCAGGAACTATCTCAGATCCTATTCATCAATTTAAAATTTTTGAATACCTACTATGTGGCCATCACCACTCTAGGCTTTGGAGACAAAGTAGAGCACATGGATCCTCATAGTTACTTTTCGCCAGAGAGGAGGCCATAAGGGAATGCATTTGCGCATGAGATCACAGAGCTTGGACCAAATGCAAGGTCTTGGTCAATGGTGCTCTGAATGCAGTGGAAAGCCCTGGCAGATTTTACAGTGGAGGGACCACTTTATCTGACCTAACATGTTAACACACCTTTGTCCAAGATGTTAAAAAAAAAAAGTCAAATGTGATCAAAGGGGAAACCAGAAGGCCAGTTTAAGGAACAGTTTAAAGACTCCTGGAGCCACTCAGCAGGGAGATTGGTGGCTGTGACGTGGGTGCTCACAGAGGAGGTGATACAAAGTGATGGAGTCTTCATCTCTTTTGAAGATAAAGGAGATAGGAGTTGTTAATAAACTGTATGTGAGATAAAAGGCAAACAGAAGGTTCAAGGCAGATCATAAACTTTCCATGTGGAGCTTCTATAAAAATGAAACTTTTGATCTGCCAATCAGGGACTTTTTCATACTCTAGGGAAAGACAGAACTCAAAATGTACCGATGACAACATCAAAATATGGAAGAATTTTTCAGCTACTTTAAGCCTGTTTCCTTCTTATTCTCCATTCTCTCTTGAAAAAATAAAACAGAAGGCAAGTTTTCTCTATTCTTAACCTACTAAAGGTATTAGATTAATAATTTTTAATAGGATTCAAATTGTGCATAGTAACATTCATGAGTGTTTTCCTTGAGTATAACTAAAAATATCTTTTGAGCAAATTTCCATCATTTGTTGTTCTCTCATTTGCTGCAAACCTTCCATAAGTGTCTGTAAAATTTACAGGCTCCTTCAGACTCAGATTAAGCTGACTCTGAAAACTTCCATTCTTCATGAAAGTACTTAGACATTACAGATATTTAGAGTACATTTTTACTGAGCAATAAAGGTGAAATGTGATCCTAGAAAAAGTGACCACTGCCAACTTCAGTCTGACAAGCAACAAGGACTTGCTTCCTTTTGAAGACAGACAGACTGTTTAGCCATGACTTCATCCATCTGCTCCAAGAGAGTTGCTGGCAGAACCGTGCAGTCCTGTGCCACCTTTCTTCCTCCTGAGGATGGGTGAGACCCCCTCAGCATACATAACCTTCAGCCAGACAGTTTCCCCAGCTCCAGCCTCACCCGTGTGCTGCAGAAGGACAAGGCTGGCCAGCACCGACCTGTGTGATTAGTGCTCTTCTTAGTTCCATCACTTATTATTCTTTTTTGCCACTGTTGCAGCAAATGATTACATGCACTGTCAGCAGCTCCGAGCATATAGACTTTTTAAGCTGTCGGTGGAAGTCATAGGCCCTTCTCAACCATTCTCATTTTAAATTCATTGACACAAAATGAGTAAAATTAACAGAGGAAATTAATGATGCAGAAATGCACTTCTATCTACAATACCCTTAGTCCAGGGACAAAGGGATTGCTCTCAATGGTGCCTTCTGGTCACCATGGAAATCTATTTTAAATTACTTACATTTTTGGATCTCAGTCTTCTGTCAAACAGTCTGGCCCAAGGTAATATTGTTCATCAGAGGCTTTAAATGAATTGAGAATTGACAAGGATTTTTACAATGCTAAGCACAGCAAGGAAGAAGTTCCATGGTCTGATGCCTGGCAAAGCACACACAGATCCAACCTTCACCTCCATTCCAAAAATTCATAATCCATAACCCCAACACAGCTTAACATAAAGTTAGAACAGGATACACTCAGACCATTACTCTTAACTGGCTGTTTCTAGCCACATACTCATGTACACATAGTAATATGATTTGGAATAGTAATAGGATGGGCAAGGGAATTACAGGAGTTCCTGGAACATCTTTGCAAGTATTTAGCAAGGCTCAGCATCTCTGAGGGCTTGCAAGTTTGAATGGAGAGTAGCCTGGAATATAATAGTTGTTCAACAATTAATTTTTGAATGAG